ATGACGTTTCGAACACAATTCATTGCTCACAATCATATTATCAATTGTAACTGCCCAGCTTCCAGACTTGAGTTTTATGTTTCCATGTCGTGTAGTGCTATAATTGATATGATTATGAACAATGAGTTGTGTTTGAAACCTCATCCAGTAAATAATACTGTCTCTTCACTGTGTGATATATCCTTTAAATAAACAAATAAATATGGAGGAACTCACTGTTACTTGCGAAATGTGTATGTAGTGTTACTTCTATCCAGAACTGGTCGTTCTTGGAACGAACAGTTTGGGAATCACTGTATACATAATTTCGAGGTCCTGCAGCGTCTGTTTGAACACAATGGAGGTTATCTTTGAGTGTTATGATTCGGTGGCTTAGACATATACTATGAATATCATACCGCTCATTGTTTGCTAGCCCTAGGACTGACTGACTGACTGTATGCAAAAAGCTGAGGGTTAGTCATCTCATAGTGTGTGGGGCGCCGTGGGATAAAAGATATTTGTGTTGAGTTAGTAGTAGTAGTATCCTTTGGTGCGTCGTGACTCCCTTTTGGGGATCCGAGAGATAATTCGAATCGGTGTTTCGAGAGTTTATCAGATGTTGTCGAGAATTGTAAATCAATGATGCCGATGAACATATTGCAATTTCCTCTTTTCCCTTGATGAAAGTACTATGAAGTGTAACGATGAACCATCCTTTAAATAACCGTCGTAAGTATGCTTACTCGCTTTCTAGACGAGTTCCCTCATCTTTTCCATCCCTATCACCCGCATATATTGTTGTTTTATTATTGTTGTGTAGCGTATCTCTTGGTTCTCGTATTTTCACAAGTTTGTGTTTTAATAATAATAATAATATAAATAATGGTCTCGGAAATGCTTAACTGTTACGCCAGTAGATGATTGTTCATTGAGAACCGTGGAATCGAAACTACTAATTGTTGTGCATAAAGTCAGAGGTGAAAACATACCCCTAAAAGGATCCTGCTGTAGATTTGTTTTGAATAATCATTTACCGCCCTAAGCATATCACAACACAATTTCTACAATATTCAGAGTAGTAGGCGAAGAATTTTCTAGAGGTAGATAGCTAGATCTCATATGGTAGTGGGCAATGTGAGTCACACAATTATTGTGTGAGGGCTATTGCTACTACTTTCCAGTTATCCTGGCCGAAATAGGCACAGCAGCGGGATTCAAAACCTGTTGGACCCTGTCTATCTGTCTGTTTGTTTTCAACATAGAACTTTGCGCCGATGTGCAACAGTTCGAGTCGCCACACTCCCCACATGTAGCACACAAAGGAAGAGAAGAAATGCAAAATAGACACAGTAGATTGGGATATGAAACAAAAGGTATAGTAATAACGAAGAACAATATAGTTTCATTGGAAATTATACGTCACAAGGGGTGGGTGCATCTACGTCTCCAGTCTTCATTGGTTCTTACTTAGCATTCCGAGGACCCCAACCAGTCAGGAAGCCAGTGTACACCCCCCTACGTGGCCAGCTTAAACTAACTGTTGTGGATTTCATTGACTGATGTGGCCATGATTTAGTTTGACCGCTGCTAGCTCTTTTCCAACCTGACCCTATGTCAGCTAACAGTGCTCGTTGACCTATTGGACCCATTGACTGAAAGTCAAATGCTTAAGTCAATGAACCATCTGATACGTTATTTTCATATAGACTAAAAAAAGTCTCATATTCCCGGTATGTTGTTTGTGTATATTAATTTTTGGTAGGAAAAAGACATAGTAGGTGAAACAGTGTGATCTATGATGTTCATTGGTTCATCGTGGATAGTCTCGTTTTACGGGATATTTACATAAAATTTTCGTATTTATTCTTTTTGTGTTTGTAGTTGTTATTCATTCATTTATTTTATTTAGAAGCTACACGGCAGCCTAGTAAAAGACGAAAGCGTAAAGGCAGTTCAGCTACTGCAGATGGTTCAAATAGTACGGGTCGAGCTTCAAAACGTAAACAATCACCCATTCCATTACCGTCTCATCATATCGCTCAGCCTGGGGTAAGTTGATTTGCATCCCTCTGTGTGTGTGTGTGTTTGTAAGTGTGCTTGTGTGGATTATGCCTGCTTAGGATTGAGACTGGCTAGAATGTGCTAAGCGAGATTCATTGACGTTGAAGAAGCCTCTAGCGGTGTTGGCCACCACCAAGTAATTTACAGACTGCTTCAGTACTATAGAGTGTTGCACACCTTTATCAGTCTCATACAACAAGAGAAAAAACTTGTTAGTGTCTTTGAAGTGAAGACAGGAGTAAGACACAGGGCTTGCCTACTATCACCAACGACGATATTCCTGATTGAGCTGGAGTGGATCATGCGGTAGACAGGGTGTGGAGAGCGGTAAGATAGAAATACGTTGGATCGACAAGAAAGATTCGTGGATGACTTATGATCTAGTGTCATGAAAACTCGAAAACTTACAGGTTGACAGAATAGGCAGGTGGGGAAGAAAGGAAATCAAGTGAACAGACAGAAGACAGGGGTGATGAAGGTACCCACCAACCAGCAGCAACAACAAAAAGCACGAGAGAGAGAAATTTGAAGAGGTTCATCTCTTTCTCACTTGTCTAGGGAAGCATCGTTTCAACTACATGCAGCACGGATGAGGATGTCGAAGCGTGCTGCGCCAGGATCGAGAAAGAAGAACTGAAATTATTGTGGAAATCTACCCCACTCAGCAGCATAAAGGACAAGATGTATATTTCGTTTAACATTGAATGTCGAGTCAGTCCTTCCGTATGGTTCAGAGATTTGAAGCATTACGAGAAGCATTTCCAACAGACTGCAGACTTTTATTAACAACTGTCTTCGCTCTACCTCATGAAGGATAAACAACAAGAAACTGAGGCAACAAACCAATTAAGCACCTATCGCCCAACAAATGTGCTGACAGAAATGGAGATGTACCAGGCACACATTGTCGGAGGCCGTCGAGTGGAGCCCCGAAGGAGGAAAGCGACAGGTTAGATATGTATCCCAGGGTGATATGGAGAACATGAAGAAGGAATGATACCTTATGGGTAGTCGTTGGGCCAGCTAAAGGGGACTGCGAAAAACAGAGTGAAATGTAGATGTGCTGTTGAAGCCCCCCCTATGTTTCACTCGGAACCTAGGGAATGGCAATAATGATGATGATAGTAATAATAAATGCAGTTACGATTTTTGCCCTACATTCTACTTCTTTGCATTACCAACATTCCGTTTTAAGTTTTTTTTTAACTTAATAGGATTGTTTCTTTTTTTAATAAGGCATTTAGAAGACAAATTTCGCCGCGAGATGATTTCGTCATTTCGTAGTTTCTTTTCAACCGCTTTACAACTAATATGGTTCACCACAATAATAAAATAAAGTTCATGACAATTACTCAGATAAATTAAAAAGTACATACTAATGACCAATCATGTTTAAATAGGTCATGTAGTCCATGGTCGGCGAAGATTGAAGTCTATTGTACACACAGTTTAGGCTGTATGTGATTAATTCCCCAAAGTGCTTCCATCACCTTCAATAACCAACCTTGAATTAGAGTTATGTGAAATAATTGTGAAAGTCATAAATATTGCTTTGTGACCTGACATTAATAAGTGTTTTGCAATGGATGATGCTGGATTTCTATTAAGATTAATCGCGTTGGGATTTTCTATATGATTTAGTAACCATTTTGGAACATGTTCCTTTCGACAACATTGGAACATTCTGTTGGTTCTACCTATATAGGTGTCACCGCAGCTGCAGATGAACTTGTAGATACAGTTTGAAGTAGAGTCCACAGAATTTCATCCTTTAATCGTAGGTACAGTGCAACGGAAAATGTTCGGCATGTGAGAAAAAGAGATGTGGCCTCGTAGAATGTGCGTTTGATGGCTGACCGAAGTCTTTGAGCTGTCAACTGCATAACCTGGTCACCATTGAATGGTAGGTTAATAAAGATAGCTTTCTTTGGTACAGAAGATATCTTTTCTAGATATGGTCTATTCTTACTTTCTGGATAACCATTAGCTAATAAAACTGAATGTGCATGTCGAAGCTCATCCATCAATGTGTCACTCGTGCATATTTTGTGGGCCCTTGAGAACAAACATTTCACTAGGGAATGTTTGTACTGAATAGGAACAAAACTGGTGAAATGAAGATATTGTCCACTCCCTGTCTGTTTACTAAAAATATATCGCTTAATCGTTCAATCATCTCTCCTGGTCATTGTAATATCCAGGAAACCGAGTTTATTATTCGTCTACCATGGACTACATGACCTATTTAAACATGGTTGGTCATTAGTATCTACTTTTGTTGTTTTGTTTTTTATTTTACTGAGTAATTGTCATGAACTTTATTTTATTTTATTATTGTGAACCATGTTAGTTGTAAAGCGGTTGAAAAAAACTACGAAATGACGATATCATCATCTCGCGAAATTTGTCTTCTAAATGCCTATATAGAAAACTATATGCTCGCACCAGCAAGTACAAAAACTCAACCATACCCTACTTAGCTCGTGTTCTGTGTGATAAAGAAAGCATTAGGCGTGACACTTATAATTCATTAAATAGTCAGTAGAACAACTGGACCTCGTCTTTCCAACTCATGTCATTTATAGGTACAACATTTTCTTTCTTTCTTTTCCTTTTCTCTCTCTTTTTTCCGTTATGTGCTGCTTTGTTTCTTTCTCTCGCTTACGCCAGTAAATATGACAGCTCCTACTTTTCTAACACCTTCAAACACTGTTCAGCTTTACCTTTGCTACTGACATGCCAATGAGCTGTTGTCATAATGAACTGAGATTTCCTTAATCTATGTAGAATTCTATTTATTGATAATGTACTAACTGGATGCAATACTGTAGTAAAAATGCTGAGAATTCCATTCTGTATCACAAGTACTGTTGTGGAATAAAGTAGATTATTATTATTATTATTCAAATTTATCAAAGGGACTAATTGTTCTAATGTTTCTTTTTTTTTCTTCAAAGGATGTTATGATCGTTGGTGAACCAACTCTAATGGGTGGAGATTTCGGTGATGAAGATGAACGCTTGATAACTCGTTTAGAGAATACCCAATATGATGCTGTAGCAGCAGCGGCGGCCGCAGCTGCAGCCAATTCCGGTGTTATGGCTTCTTCCCATATGATGAATTCAGGTCCTTTCCCCGGATCGAATGATTCACCTGCTGGTGCCGGTATCATGTCATCACCCCTTGGTGGTGGCGGCGGCGGTGGCGGTGGAATGAATTCAGGAGGCGGTAATTTGTCATTAAATAATGCCAACCAGCAGCAGCAACAACAACAACAGCAGCAAATGAATTCTCTTCAATTCCGTCCAGGCCCAATGTCATCGTCAGCTGGTGGTGGTGGTGGTGGCGGTGGCGGTATTAATAATAATTCCAATCAAAATATGCCATTGCATGAAGGTGTTTTCCCCGGTAGTAATATGAATAATAATAATAATATTACATCTATGCAACAACAAAATCAAACATTAGTTTCTATGCCTCCTAGTCAATCGCTTTATACAAGTTCAGCGCCGAACAGAAGTCTACAACACCATCATCCTCATCCACAAATGATGGGACAACAATTTATGCCAGTATTTACAAAAGGTCAAATGTCTACGCCTAATTTACCTAACAGAAATGGTAAGTGTATACCTATATTATAATAAATAGAATTGTAAGGCATTGTTGTTTTTGTTTTGATTCAAAATATTCTCTAAAGTATTGGTGATGGCTCTCCTGACCTTCTTCTCTTTTGGTGTTTCCTGTCATATAGCTTTTTTTGTGTGCTTATTGTAGCATTCCATTCTCTATCATTTTGTACTTTCTTCGGTGTTTTGAGTAGTGGTCACTAGGCCATTTCACTCTGTTCTCTACAGTCATTCTTAACTGGCTTCACAATTGTCCACAAGCTTTCATTTCTTCTCCACGTGATCTCCTACATGTTATCATCCTCAGACGCTGTCAACTCGTTAACTCTCATCTGGGTTCCTTTCGAGGGCTTGACATGTGAAGTCACTTGAAGGTGTCTCTCTCCTCAATGTATATATCTCATCCATCAGCATATTTATTGGGGAGGATTCCTTGTTGCTTATCCTTCTTTATGGGGCGAAGACAGTTGTTGATAAAAGTTTGAAACTTGTTGGAAATGCTTTAGAGACACATCAAGAGTCTCTGAACCATACAGAGCTGACTTAACATTGGAGTTGAAAATCCGAGTCTTCTTCGATATGCTGAGTGAAGTAGATTTCCACAATAATTTCAGTCCAGTGGAAATATGTCTTGCTTTTTCGATTCTTGCACGGCACGCTTCGACATATTCATCCGTGCCGCTTCCTAGACAATTGAAAGAGATGACTCCCTTCAAATTTCTCCCGTCCATGGTGACTGGTGCTTTTTGTTGTTGTTGTTGGTCGGTGGGTGGGTATCTTCACCACCTTCGTCTTGTCTATGTTCACTTGGTATTTTGTCTTCACTGTCTGCATCTCCTACCAGCTTGTTTATTTTCGCCTGTGTGTATCTTCAAATATGCGTGACACCGGCCATCATTCGTGAAGTCCTGAAGTGCTGGTTATTCGGGTTAATGTATTTTACTGTGCTAGGCTCAAAATCTATCTTTCTGTCTTTGGCGTAGCAAGTCGTTCACAGTGATAGTCCTGATAAGCACATTCTGTTTTCCATGCAATTTAAGTAGATGTAATGATATAGCAACATTATGCAATTCGAAATGTATTCATCAATAGTAGACGTGTCAAATCGTAGTCGAGTGGAATACTGTTAGATTTTGATGTAGAGGATTTATTAAAAAGCTATTATTATTATTTCCTTTAATTCCTAGAGGAACATAGGGCTTCAGCCAAACGTCTCCATTGTATTCGGTTCTCTGCTAAAGTTTTCACCTAGCTCCAAGTCTGCCCACACGTTTTCATCTCCCCTTCACATGACCTCCAAGTCACCCTTGGACTACCAACTCGCCTCTTCCCTTTCGGGTTCTGTTCGAGTGACGGCCTGTCTAGCGATGTCACTTGATGGTTTCCTCAGAGTATGGCCAATCCACCTCCATTTCTTCTTGCTTATTTGTTGCACAATCGGTTCCTGCTGGGTTGGTTCGCTCCCAGAGATCTCTGTTGCTGATCTTTTCTGGCTGGCCATCTGATCTTGAGTATTGAGCGAAGATAGCTGTTGATGAAGGTCTGTAGTTTGTTCGAAGTGGCCTTCGTGACGCAGCGCGACGAGGCGCCGAGTCTCTGATCCGTATAGTAGCACTGACTTCACATTAGAGTTGAAAATCCGGATCTTATTTTTCATGCTGAGTGCTGTTGACCTCCACACAGACATTGAGTCTGAATAGATAAAGAAATATATTGCTTGAAGATGATCTTCCCTGTATGCACAAAGTCTAAGTATCAAGAATATATTAACCGGTGTTGTGGTTTGCTTTTACGAGGTTGGGTGGGATCCGTTAGTCTTACACCCGACCTTCCCCCTATTCCAAGATTTCTTGATGGGAGTGTAGTAAATAGAGTGAGACTTAGGAGTGCACTGACTGGGAATCGAAGCCTTGCCACAAGCGTGGCTGGTGAGTAGTCTACCGCTGACCCACGGATGCACAAGGTATACTCTATGTGGACACACTATTCAGTTGGTGTTTCAGACTAAACGTGATGAAAAATGTAATTCTCAGAGATTTAAAAGCAGTACTCAGCGACGCAACTATGATGCCTTTGTTCTAAATGCTATACTTTGATGAAGCACTTATAAAAAAGAGGTGGAATAAACTGTTATTATTCTCTTGGGTTTCTAGTTGAACATACGGCATCAAAACCACATCTCCACTTCGTTCTATTTAGTGCTGTCCTCTTCAGATGGTTAGCTCCACAATTGTCTATAATCTCTCATTTCCTCATCCTTGTCACCCTCACACCGACGATCCACTCGTTACTTCCCATTAGGATTCCACTCGAGTGATGGCCTGCATTCCGCGCGATTTCATTCGACTGCCTTCTCAACGTATACCCGATCCATCTCCATTTTCTCGTACATATTTGTTGAGAAATTGGCTCTTGGTTGGTTCGTCTCCAACCAGATTTTCTTGTTTCGGATTCTTTCTGGCTGGCTATTTGGAGCCAGCTCACCTATTGAAAATCCTCTACGTGACGTGCATTGCAAGTTTCTGACCGATATAGCGAAGAGCTAACTGACTTATCATTTGTGGTGAAAATCCGAATCTTGTTGTTTGTGTTTAGGCGGATGGCAGAATATTTCCAAACTGGTTTCAGATTGATATAGGTGTATCATGCCTTTCCAATTTTGCCTGGCTCTGACATCTTCATCCATTCTGTTGTCTGTGGCTGGAACGATGCTGGCTTCTTAGATAAGGGAAGGAAGTGACCTCTGTCAAATCTCCGCTTGATGGCGATTGGTGCTGGTTGTTTTTGCAGCTAGGTGGTTGGTTATCTTCATTACCTCCGTCTTCCCAATGTGGTGGTATTTCTGAGCGAGTTGCGGGTGATGGGCGATTCAAGAGTTCTTTGAAGTCATCGGACCATTGTTTTGTTTGTTTCTCCACCTTGGTAATTAGGTTCCCTTGAACATCTTTTATAGATTCCACTTGCGTTAATCAACTATTATGGATGTGGAAAAAAGGGGAATTAACCATGACTTTAAGCATTTTAAGAAGGCGTTAATATGTTTGCATCATTAAAATGAGAAACGAAATGTTGGTCACAACAATCCACGCAATCTACTGTGTGAGAGTTAATGATACTATATGTCTGAGCAAACCTCGACAAGTTGAAACGGGGTTCGAGTTCGTTGCTCACTGTTTGGAAGTCGAGCTATAAAACCCAGTTAGCCATAGCTGCACATTTTCGCCATTATGAAAGTCTGTAATTCAACTTAGATATCTACTACCGGTTCTTACCTCAAACGTTTTCTTGTCTATTTTTTCACCTTTAGAGCACTATATGTCTTCAACAGCCAATGCAGATGTTATCATGCATCAACCAACACGATCAAGTAGTGCTTCATCTATAGTTGATGGTACAAATGGTCTAAGTGGATTCCCGCACTGTGCCTCTCCTAATCTACTTCCTTCAAGACCACCAGCTCGTTTCACTCCACCATCTCTTCCAAATGGTGTTGGTTCTACAGTTGTCTCATCCTCATCCTCCTCCTCCTCCTCACAACAACAACAACAACAACAATCCAATTTTATGATGCCAAATGAAATGATGGGTGGTGGTGGTGGTAGTGGTAGTGGTAATCCTTCTTCAATGGGGCATGTATCTGTTCCTGGGACACCTTTAACTTCCCCGTTAACTTCATCCTCTTTTACAATGGATATGATAGATAATCAAAATGTCTTACAGCACTCTGCACCGTCTACTTTAATGTCCACAACGATTAAATCGAATAACTCCCCTATGCTGTATAATTCAATTGGGACAAGTTGTAGTGGGAATCAGCTGACTCCGGAGCGTAAGTTTCTGTCGACTTATTTTGTAGAATATTCGTGATTATGGATGGTTGTGTGTGTGTGTGTGTGTGTTGTGACTTTGTGCCAGTAATATTCTAACTGACTCCTGTTGCGCATTTATTATTATTATTACTATTATTATTATTCCATGTCTTTCATAGTCGGTGAATTGCATAGGTATACTATAAGCTTCCCCAAAATGTATATATATGTGTATCTATCTATCAACAGTTCGAGATACTATAAACTCTATTGAATATACTACCACCAGTCTTTTGATTTTTTTTCCAAATTTTCTGTGAACACTCCTGGATTATTTCTCGTTTGTGGGTGAAACAGAGACTTCGTATAGTATAGGAAGCAAGTGAGGCGCCACGTTGTTATACGTTATTATAGTTTGCGCAAAGGATGGGATGCTACCCAGACGCCTAGACCGAAGCAGGTGGTGATAGTGGTTACCTTAAGGGGGCCCAACCCATGTCTAGACTTTGACTTGAACTTTGATCCACTAGGCAGTAGAGAGCGGGCGTTAAGAGCTACGATCCTATGGTTGACTATGGTGACTAAAACACCTGTGGTGTTGTACACCTTGGGTTTGAAATCAGGGTTCTCTAGCTCCCGTATGTACACCACCAAGATGTTCACCAGTTCTGTGGTTTTAAGCGGCAGACGTTCTAACTTGCCGTTCGACTTTTGTGAGGAACACCCCGCCCTCGTGAAGGCTCTCAGTAAGACTTACGTGACAGAGACCAAAGTCTATCCACCCTAGAATGCAGCAGGTTGCGTATAGGTGGAAGAATTTATCAAGCCTCTACATAACTGTTAATGTATCAGCTATCCCGCGGCTTCGTTGGCGATTTCTTTTCAGCAACAGATTAATTGAAAGGCAGCAGTATATATCTGTCATTGTGTCACCACTGGATGTAAGAAGTGCGTTAAAATGCTGTTGAAGACTGTGGTGTCTCTGCAAAAGGTGGTAGTATTTCACATTTTACAGTTATCTACAAGTTTCATGAAACATGAAAGTGTTACCTCTAACCAAAATTCATTTTATGCTACGACAAGTTTTCTACACAAGTAGTACAAGCAAATATGCGAAACTGAGAACATGTTACTGTCTATAGGACGACGATTGAAGAAGTGCATTTCTCACAAACTGGTGGATTTTTAATTGTATAAAGATTCTGTTTGAAATTTTGTTGTAACAGTTTTTTGCACACTGCCTGCACGTTGGACGTCTCCATGAGGTCGCCTTTTACATTTCTCTTATCAGTCGATACACTTATTGATATAAGTGCCACAATGCCTTACATAATATATCATAATTTCTTCACGTCGGTGGATCAGTGTAATATCTTGTTAATTTGAATAACTGGATACTGTTAATTTGAATCTACACAACTGTCTCACTTAGAATAAAGCAATCCTATTTATTATAATATCATCTCATTTGATCACGTTGATAAGCCCTGCAGGGGAATAGACTATTACCTTATAGGTGGTCTTCATTCCTTGTGTTGCGAATGAAACTATAAGGCGTCAGCGGAACATTTCCACTGCACAGTCGGCTCTCTGTCATCATTTTCAACTGGCCTTGCCACCTCCCCCTCCTACAAGCTGTCATTTCTTTTTCGCATGATCACCTCTCCCTGCCATCCTCAAATGCCAAACTCCATCCCGTTTCCCATTCCGGTGCAACTCGAGGTGTCGCTTCAAGATCTGTGTCTTCAGCAGATGTCCATTACCTTCTGTATATTTGTTGGGGTATAAGTTGTTGTCTGATTCGCTTCCAGAGTTCGTTATTGCTTGCTTCTCCTTTCTGGTCGCCAGTCACCTGATCTGATCAGAATTGAACGAAAGCGATAGTTTGATTGGTTGGAGGATTTCATCATGAGCCGACATCAGCTGTTCGGTCCTAGTTTGGGAGTCTTCATCAGTACGCACCCACCGGCAGGGTTCAAACTCAGGACCTTCTGGTTGCACAAGGTAGACCAGCTACTGGGACCCGATCCAATTTCCCATGAATTCTAACTTCTGCCAATTCATGACATAGCGCGACCACTTCACAATGTCTTCTTCGGTTAGTTACTGCCTCACTTTCGACATGCTGCACCCTACTGGTCTCGGGTCCCAGTGACTTACCGGTCTACGAGCTCGCCTTGTAACCAGGAGGTCCTGGGCTCGAACCCTGCCGGTAGGTGCATACTGATGGATGAGGAGTCCCAGACTAGAACGAAACAGCTGTTCCAGTACTCCCAGGTTTTCCAATGGTACTCTAACTGATGTGTCAGCTCAAAAAAAATTCCCTACAAAATCAATACTTGAAGGCGACAGTTGTTGATAAAAGTTTACAGTCACACTATTGATGAAAATGCTCTTGGTAACGCGCGTGACTAGTCTCTCTCTCTACCTTTTAAATATGCACTGTTTGCATGAACTCATTTGTTTGAGCACATTGCTAAAAAACACACCTCATCAGTGTATATATCATATGTATATATATCAAATCGGTTCTACTGTGTGATATTTCATTTTTAGCGACAATGCTTCCAACAATGAGTGGTATGGGATGTGATGTCTCCTCGGCTGTGATGAATGATAATGAAGATCTCAAAATGATTAATAATAATAATAGTAATAATAATAATAACAACAATAATAATAACGCAGCACCTTCACGTCCTACTGCTGAGTCAAGTAAGTTTGTTTATTTTTCTCGCATGTGCGGTTCTTCCCCCTTTTTTGCACTGTGATTATTACTGTGTTGTTGCCTGCATCCCTGTTGTAATTATGATTATTATTTTTTAAGCATTAAGACCGGACTAAGTGATTTTTCTTATTGCATACTGTATAAATCCTTAAGAGTTTGTTTGTCTACTATACTGGGCATGTCTTTGATCATAGCTGTCTGCGTTCTGTCTCCCGCGTGAAGTGGTATAATTAAGGTGAGCAATATTGTGGTTATGCATCGGTCGAGGAGGGGAAATCAGTCGACGAGACTGTGAAATTACATCGACTGAGATTGTTAGGACATGTGTTATGGCCTTCCTCGACAGTGGGCAATGTTAGCTGATATAGGGTCAGGCTGGAAAAGAGCTAGCGGCGGTCAGAAGAAAACATGGCACCAGTCAATGAAATCTACAACAGTTAGTCTAAGCCAGCTACATAGGAAGGTGTAGACTGGCTTCCTGACTGGTTGGGGTCCTCGGGACGGTAAAAACCAATGGTTGGAGACAATTGGTGACATGGCTCAAAGTGATCGTTCTCAATGGGTGGCGCAGATGCATCCACTCCTTGTGACTTATGATTTCCAATGAAACTGTTTTGTTCTTCGTTATTACTATTCCTTTGTCTCACACCTCTGTTTACTGTATCTAATATGCATTTCTTCTACTCTCTTCTCTTGCTTTGTGTGCTACATGGAGTGTGGCGACTTGAACTGCTGCATATCGGTGCAAAGTTCTATGTCGAAAACAGACACACATACTGGGCATGAGTCGTACTACCTATCTTAGTTTTATGATGTCGTCTTTATCCATGAGCACACAATTAGTGTTAGTGTTTCCTGCCAGTCTGTAACGGTTCCGATTATCGGAAAGCCTGAGACTAAATAGATCTGAGCGATTATTACAAAGAGTGAAAGCATCTGCGCGCCATTGGTGGTGGCGGTGAGCCATCTCACCAAGAATCACAAGCTAGTTATTGGTAGTTTTCTTAATGTCTCAAGTACCCGAACCAGACAGTATCTACATCATATTTACTATGTGGCTCAGACCAGTAGTCAAAGACTTCACCGGATTGGTGCCAGATTTTTGGTCTGACCAACTTTTGAGCTCAAAGAGGCAATGTGTACGCATGCGTAACACATACTGGCCATCGCATTCGAAATAACTTCATAGATTAACTAGCCCTCCTTACCTAACCTAACATTCTTATACCTAACCTGTGTACTACTCACCGGACTATATCACTCATTATGAGAAATAGAACGTGATTATCTGTAGTCGAATACATATCTCCTACTTTCAATGACGGTGTCTTCACAGCCATAGAGGTGAACGTAGTGGGCACCAGACTTGCCCTCCAATTGGTCCTCGTTAAAGGATTTAAATTGTACTCATTCGAATTACGGATCCTCAATTCAGTTCCGTATTCGCATTTTTCGTCACTACCTCCCCGTGCCGGGAGTGGGTAATTTTCGCGCCTGCTGCCGTCCTTGGATGTGGTAGCCATTTTTCAGGCTCCCTCTACGGAATCGAACCCTGATTCCCCGTTACCCGTTATTATCATGGTAGGCAAATCACTTACCAACAAATTGATAGGGTAGGCATTTGAAAGATCCGTCGCCGACACAAGGCCGACTGCGATCATTGAAGTTATTCAGAGTTATCACAGAATTCAACGGAGACAGCCGAAACTGCCCCCGGTTGGTTCTATTCTAATAAATGCACCCGTTCTCTTGCGGGTCAGGGCATAATTGCATGTATTATCTCTAGAATTACTACAGTTATCCATGTAGCATATTTGATCTAAGGAACCATAGCCGATTTAATGAACCATTCGCGGTTTCACCGTTTTAAGGTATGTACTCAGACATGCATGGCTTAATCTCTGAGACAAGCATATGACTACTGGCAGGGTCAACCAGTTTATTCACACAGTGATACACCCACTGACTGGGTATTGGTTTTCAGGAGAACCAAACACGCCCATCCCTGCCTCTTGAGAGACGAAACCGGCATACAGGATCATCCTGTGGCACAACCACTCGAGAACCCTCTCCCTCGGTGGACCATTCGCACCGTTAGTAATGCATAGGTAAGCACTGTTACGCCAATCATTGATCGCATCAATCAATTATGCACTGCACAGACAAGCCCAATAGATTTAGCTCATCTCGCATACAAGACTAGCCAAACGCATTATTATTATTATTATATGCAAAAGTAGCACGCATAGCGACGCTATAGTGACAATAAGCCCCTATAAACGAAGCCAGCAGTAGAAGCCCGAAGGTGTTATTTAGTTGATGATGGTGGCTAGTAATGGAATTCAGAAAGAGCATTTCGTCCTACTATGAAGTCGCCATCTGAGCGATACTCGAACCTCAGTACTCATCGTTTTGAACATCGAATCGTTATCCACTGGGTGACGCGTTGTAGTCCTAGCAACATGTTAAACGTCATATACCACAGGACGTCTATATGCTTCAGTGGTCTTCATTGAAAAATTCTGGGATTGATCATGATGTTTCGGTTTTTGAAAGCCAAATTTAGAATATCAACTGAATCAATCCGTGCTTTTCACTTGAGTTAATTGACGTTAGAATTGTGTTCTTGGTTATCGATTTCCGTACCATTACCTTTCAGTTGGTCATCAACTGTTACAGTGTAATTGTCTGTTAAGTTTTAATTCTGTCATACTTAAAATTCACCGTATCATGTATTGTGCAACCTTCCCACCATTATTCTACTTATTTTGATAACTGAAACAGGAGGAGCATTGGTGTGTGTGTTGCTTGAGTCCAGGGGACAACTGCTTGAAGCCACTTAGTTACACGCGACTTCTTTGAAGTGATTTTTGGAGTTTTGTCCGTATTAAGATCTTACTACCGCATATGGGATATGTAATTTTCTTGGCCGACCTCTTCTAACCCCCGTTCTCAAAGAGGAGAGACAGCATAGCTGTCATGTTGGTTCTCTGAGGGAAACGCCGTAGTGCTGTTATATCCCCCCTACTCGTCACCAGTGCAACTTCGCCTTCAGCCCCCCCCCCCAACATAGCGTAAACGACTTTCACTATGATTGCAACTGTTTTTAGTTTAACCGCATGGTAGGAGCTACAGTAACTTCGGTTCCAGCCAGTATAACTTGTTGGGATCATTTCCATAGGCAAGCCCTAGTCCTAGCACTGCGTCAAGAAAAGCGGTTTATAATTGAAGATGATCAGTCTAGATTAGATATATGGTTACTTCAATTTCACAAAGTTAAAGATTCCTTCAGTAAAATGCTTTCATGTCTAGTTCTTATTCTTCATAACTCAAAGTAAGTTAGCGACTAAAAGTTTCCAAAACGTCAATTAGTGTTTAAATTCTAAGGTGTGGTCAAAGGTAAATTTTGTTGTCGCAGAATTGATTAATTCACTGTGATAGGTGTGCTAATGTATATTCACCTATTTTAATTACACTTATGGAATACAGTGTACTCTGTCTGATTCATCGCTGGGCGTCTGAAGATTCTCTAACTTGAACAGAACGGCTGTTCAGTTGTCCCTGACGGTTGTCTGCTACTTGTCCAATTGATGCCAGTTTGTGGTGTCTAGCTTGGTTAATATTATGCAAGTTGTATATTACGCCCATTCATGTATCTGGTCATTTATATAGAATAACTAGAAAGGTCAAGAGTCTAATAACAATGAGTTTCATTCAAAAGGTATGCATGAATGAGTCAGTGTACTCCAAAAGACTTTGATTGATCGATTATTGTGTAGAATTTTGTTAGTTTTGCCGATTGTTCTTCTACAAGTTCGCATGTCTGTCTGTTTTCGACATAGAACTTTGCACATATGTGCAGCAGTTCAAGTCGCCACACTCCATGTAGCACACAAAGCAAGAGAAGAGAGTAGGAGAAATGCATATTAGATACAGTAAACAGAGTTGTGAGACAAAGGAATAGTAATAACGAAGAACAATATAGGTTCATTGGCAATTACAAGTCACAAGGAGTGCTTGCATCTGCGCCAACCATTGATAACGATTTTGAGCCATATCACCAATTGTCTCTGGCCATTGGTGTTTACCGTCCCGAGGACCCCAACCAGTCAGGAAGGAAGTCTACACCTTCCTACGTGACTTAGACTAACTGTTGTAGATTTCATTGACTGATAAGGCCATGTTTTAGTTTGACCGCCGCTAGCTCTTTTCCAGTCTGACCCTATGTCAGATAACATTGCCCACTGTCGAGGAAGGCGATGACTAGGCATACGTAACACATGTCCTAACCATCTCAGTTGATGTAATTCGCTAGCCTCGTCGCACGAATAGTAGTATGAAGGCTATAAGTCCATTATTGACAATTTTGGTTTCAATACTAGTTGCATTCATTCTTTCATTTGTGCATGGATAGTTATGATGATGGCCTAGTTATATGATATACGGTGAAATGTGATTTAAACTATAAGAGCTCGCTAACAACGAAGACTCAGAAACAGTCAGCTATATCTACACACTATGCAGCTTTGACTCATGAATTAATGGCTTTTGGTTTTTTCAATCTATGAACCCCTAGCTTCAGTTAACTGTGGTGGTGGTAATATCAGCCTTTATTTTATAAATATGGCTCATTAACGTTTTCACCGGTTGTCTAACTCATATCAGTTCGTAATTTGGCTTAAAGTCTGACCCGTTGGCCAAATTTAATGAATGATATACAAGTGTGTATTTAAATCCATATATATAATTGTTCCCTCGGGTTCTGAGTGGAACCTAGGGGTTTCAACAACAAATCATTACTTTATTCTACTATCTGCCATCCTCCTCAGCTGGGTCCACGATTTCCCAAAATCTCATCTCTTCCTTACACGATCTTCATGTCACCCTTGCACTGACGACCCACTCGTCCCTTCCCATTGGGATTCCATTCGAGTGATGGCCTGCATTGCGCGCGACGTCATTCGACGTCCTCCTCAATATATTCCCGATCAATCCATCTCCATTTTCTTCTACGTATTTATTGAGCGATCGGATATTAACTGTTTTGTTGCACTGCAGAGTTTCTTGTTTCTGATTCTTTATGACTGACCATTTGATCTTCAGTATGGAGCCAGCCAGCGAAGGTGGCAGCTGTTGATGAAAGTCTGGAACTTGTTCGAAATCCTTTTCGTTACGCGCCAAGTTTCCGACCTGTATTCAATGCCCTACTTGACATTGACGTTGAAAATGCGAATCTTGGTGTTTATGCTGGCTGAGTTAGTGCAGAAGATTTCCAAACTGGTTTCAGATTGATATAGGCGTATCATGTCTTTCCAATTCTGCCTAGTTTTGACATCTTCATCTATGTTGTCGTCTGTGGTTGAAACGATGCTGGTTGCCTAGATAAGTGAAGGAAGTGACCTCTGTTAAACCTCTCCTGTTGATGGCGATTGGTGTTTGTTGTTGTTGCCGTTCGTTGGTTATCTTCATCACCTCCGTCTTCTCTATGTTCACCTGGAGTCCTGTCTTCGCTGCTAGATTCTTGTGCCAGTTTGTTGGTTTTCGCCTGCAAGTCTTCAAATTTGCGTGATATTAAACGTTAAATCATCCACGCACAAAATCCAGATCTTCTAGAATCTTCTTATCGGTCGTCCAGCGTATTCCTGTCTCCCTCGCTCCCCACAGTCTGACGCATGCTCCAGTCCGTATATATGTAATGTGATAATTGTAATGTCAACCGAAGGAATCTATTGTCTGATATCAATTTTTAATGCAATCAAAAGGTTTGTTTGAGTTAGTTAGACACTCGAAGATGTTTACCTATCGATTAGTGTATCTAGTCTCAATCGAATTAACATCAAATTATTGCCTATACATCTGTCGATTTTGCCGATAATTCTTCTACAAGTTCTGCACCAAACAGTATGATGGTTAATTTTGAGGTTAAGTTATTAGTTAGTAACCATTCAGGTTTCAATGCTAGTTCCATTCATTCTTCACTTGTAAATGGATAGATGCTTATGATACCACTGGGTGGCTTAGTAGTAACACGGTGAAAGATGATGGTTAAAACATAGAATTCACTTGCAAAGATTCAGGCTGTTGAAATAGTCGATCATATTTCCACAGTATTGGAGTTTGTGACTCACTCAATAATTAATGGCTGTCTGTGTTTTCAGTCTAAGTTGTGACAGGTTCGCACACACCCTACACAGCTGCATTAAGATGACAACATCAGCCTTCATTTAATATTTGTGACTCATCAAGTAAGTATGATTAGTGTGATTCTGCGCATTGTTGAGCTATTGACTCTAGATACACTCTTTCAGTTTATGACTTAAATCTGGCTTCTGGTTGATTTAATTGCAAAGTTTCCGTTGTCCTTCGCAAGTAACTACAAGTTTATTTATCGTTGTCTGATGTCAAGACTTGGAGAGAATTTTATGAACATGACATAGTGTGGTACATACTACTCATTGATTCATATGCATAATTTGAAGTCATTCACGTCATCCAGTTATCATACTTGCTACCTGCCAGAGGTGGGAGTGATCTGAACACTGGGTGGTGTGCAGTTTCTCTTGTGTGGGGTGTCCAACGCACCAATGATGGTACCCGGAATGTTTCGTCTGGGAGAATGAGAGAGAGAGAGAGCCGAATCAGTTGAAACCGTTGGGATTTGGGCTTAGTCACTTGGGCATATTGGTTTCTCAATTTAAAAATTACACAGTCTGAAGGAGGGATTTCCCTCCCCCGTCCACCTTCTCATATGATTAAACAAAAAACAAGTGTGTTATTTATGTGATTCTATCTTAGAAGATGTTTGATTATCTGAACATTATCTGTTATCATCTTTCTTATTCATTTATTTATTTATTTTCTCTTTTTTAGTTTGAATTCATAACAATGTCTCTGGGAAATTTGTTTCTATACTCTTATTATCATTATTGTGGATGTGTATACAATGGGAAGATTACGAGTACTGCTACTACTACTACTACTACGACCATTCACTGGACAGTGTTATTGATTTTCGACAACTATGGACAAAATTATGCACAAATAAAATAAAACAAAACAGTGAGTATATATTTATATATACATGTAGAGAATGAGAGAGAGAAGAAGACGTCCTCTGAAATCTCCACTTCCAGTGGTGTCCCCCGTGTTCATAAAACTGGAAAGTTCTGTTTTTCTTTTTCTTTTCTAAACCTCATTTGTATCTTCTTTTCTCCTTTTTGTTTGTTTTCAAAACGATCAAAAGTTATCCACAGGAAGCATTTATATAAATAAATAAATAAGTAAATAAACATATTCTCCTTGTTATTCCACCTCTTCTATATACAGTATACACATGTGTGTATTTTGTTTGACCTGTTCGTGCGCCCGTAGCCCCCTCTCTACACATCTACCTTCGTTCCGCCCTTTCTACTTTCTCCAATGTCTCAACACTCGATTGTCTAATTTGATACATACATATGCATCTATCTATTTGTATCATTGCCAAATATCACCCACTTTCTAATACAGTAAAACATTACCTCTCCTCCCCCGTTGGCCTCTCCGATCCACCCCTTTCCCATCTTTCGATCCGATTTACTTTTTTGATTCTTCAAAGAATATGATCCCATTTCATATTTTGTTGCCCCCCTCCCCAACCCCACATACACTTGTACATACAATTTTTGCATATGTATTTAAGTATATACGTATATATATATATACAAATTGTTTCTTGTAATGTTATAATTATGCTGCTCTCTATACATATATACATTGAAAAAACACGAATATTTGATTCAATTTTTTTGGTTTTTCAGATTTTCCCAGATAATTTTGTTGGTGGTAGTGGTGTTGTATTCATATATAGAACGTCCTGTCTGTTCGTGTGTGTTGTTTTGCGTTGTGTGCGTGCGTGTGTGTGTTGGTTGGTTGGGTTGGTTAGTTGTTTTGTGTTTCGTTCTGTTTGGTGAGGGTATATTCAAGTCCAATGGTTGTTTTGCATTCCATCATGATTATATAAGTGTGTAACAGAGAGCGAGCGAGCGAGCCTACTGTTACGTATGCCTAGTCATCGCCTTCCTTGACAGTGGGCAATGTTAGCTGACTGACATAGGGTCAGGCTGGAAAAGAGCTAGCGGGGGTCAAACCAAAACATAATAATAATAATAATCACTTTATTCCACAACAATAACAATTTACAGCATGGAATTTTCAGCGTTTCATTTTACATATTGCATTGGTTTAGCTCTTTTTATAATTATATAAATGTATAAAATTTTAAAAATATTAATAGTTAATAGGAAAAATAAAAACCCCAACAAAATACACCATTTCTAGTTCATGGCTTCATCAGTCAGTGAAATTCACAACAGTTAGTTTAAGCCACGTAGGAAGGTGTACATTTCCTGGTTGGGGTCCACGGGACGGTAAAAACCAATGAAGGCTCAAACTCATCGTTCTCAATGGCCAGTGCGGATGCATCCACTTCTTGTGACTTATGATTTCCAATGAAACTGTTTTGTTCTTCGTTGTTTACTATTCCTTCTGTCTCATATCCCTGTCTACTGTCTGTACTTTGCATTTCTTCTACTTTCTCCTCTTGCTTTGTGTGCTACATGGAGTGTGGCAACTTGAACTGCTGCATATCGGTGCAAAGTTCTATGTCGAAAACAGACAGAGCCTACTGTTGTTGTTATTGTGGTTATCTAGTGTGATTATTATTTAAATAGTAAGTAAGGGGATGTGTATTTATACTTTATTTTTGGTTTGAGTATCGTATTTAATGTTAAGTTGTTGAATTTGTTTATTATTAATATATTGAGTGTGTTGTTAAGGTAAGTAGTTGTTACATCGTCATCATCATCATCACTTGTTGGCGATCGATGTTATTGATCTTTTTCTCAACAAAGTTAAACTTTGAGTACCATTGACAACCAATGAAAAGATGACCTTGAAAACACTAATCACATGAAAAAGGCTACTTTTGAGTATTATATATATATGCAGTTCTAGTGAGAGGTGAGGTCCATCCAGTCGGGAGTGAGGGTGGACGTTCCACCAATGACATTGGTTGGTGGTCGCGCTAAATCACGAATTGGTAGGAGTTAGAATTCGTGGGCTGGCCATTGAATCAGGTCCCAGTGGCTGAGTGGTAAGCGAGTTTGTCTTGTAACTGGAAGGTCGTGGGTTCGAACCATGGTGGTGTGTGCGTACTGCCGATGATTCCTACAATGAGGTGAAACGGCTGTCCAGTACTGCCTGCTTCGCTTTCAACAGTCCTCTAACTAATATTAATCCGTAGTCAAACTCGGAAAACAAATCAAAACCTTAAAAAAAAGGCATAAGAAGGTTACATAGAACACCCTTCTCTGATTTTTGACCGAAATAACTACCAATTTTCCATAGGAATATAAATATAGATGTTCAACCATATTCCATACTTGTATTCATCTATATGGCTGTAAATAACATTCTTTAGAGATCCTTTAATGGTTCTAATCCTGTTCTTCAATCTCCCCCCAAAATCCTTCGATACGATTGGTGTAAGCCCCCGTAATGGGATCTATAAAATCATCAGTGTGGTTTTCTCTATGGTGAATAAATCCCAGGCATGACAACGAGCTACATCCTTGCAATTCATCTGTACCTATTATGGATCCTGGTTTCACCAATCCTTTACGTAAAGTGTTATCGTACAGTCCAATCATCCGAAAGTTTTTCAACTTTTTCTCCACCAAGGTTGTATTTTCTCTTTATTAAGGACTGTTTCATTTATATTTACAATAAAACCTCCTCTCAATACAGAACTTACTCTCCCTCTATCATCCAAGATGCAAGATCTCTGCACTGCTGGTATCACTGAACAACTGAAATCATATTTTTCTCTGTTTCAGCGGCTGTAGATCTCACGATGTGTTTTAGAACCCAGTTGAAGCTTTTTATACTCATGATACCTTCACAGGAATAGATTCTTTCCTTTCCAATCAATCTCATATCCTAAGCAATACTGGTAACCTTGGTGTACACCAAGTTTCAGACGTAACTCTGTTACAGCAGGCATTTCAGTCAAATCAAGGGGAATGGGATGTTTGTACTCACGTGGAGAAATCCACTGATCCATTCAAGGTTATTATTGGTGGTGCGCTCGTACTCCGTCGGTAGTAAACAATGATGCTTAAAGTTTAACTTGTCCCTCTGTGGTGAGAACTGTCTGCTAGCCAAAGTTGGTAGACAGTAATTGACGTCAATGTTTATGTCCCCAATATTGGTGGTGACAAAATGAGAACAAAGGCTTTGCGTAGGCGGATACAGTTAGCATATGGATGATCTGACACAGCCACAAAGAGATGCAAGGTTAACTTTCTGTGAGAAACAACCAATCAAAAGACTGTATTTTCTACTAACAATAATCTACAATAATGTACATTAAAATCTATAAATATGTGTTGATTTTCCTTAATAAACGATCTGTTGCCTGACCCTTATCTTCTGTTGTTATACCTCTTCTTTCTCTCCATAATGGTTAAGATTTTATTTTGAGAAATCACACAGTGTTGTACAGTTATATTAACTGATGACGTTTCGAGCACAAACTATTGCTCATAATCATATCAAGTTGGTATGATATGATATGAGCAATATATGATATGATTATGAGCAATAGTTTGTGCTCGAAACGTCATCAGTTAATATAACTGCACAACACTGTGTGATTTCTCAAAATAAAATCTTAACCATTATGGAGTTATACTCTACCACAGTGCCCAAGTTTTATACTTATACCTCTTCTTTTTCTGTATTAGTAGGTTTTAATCGTAAATTTCATTCCAGAAAAGTGGTCTTAGAATTATTAATGGTGTCATCGAGGAAACTCCTATATTATGACTGATAGAATTTTGTACAGAAGCGCACCAGTTCAAAGTGCCATGCCCCAGTCCACTAAGATCGAGGAAAAAATTCAAAGTAGGGATGAAAGTGAATAACATTAAAAAAACATGAGGATGTAACGTGAATATCGGGGATTACAAGGAGTGAATGTATTATGTATCTGCGTCATTGGGAACGATTTTCAAACGTATCACAGTAATTTGCAGCTCGTGATTTCTTAGCGTTCCGAGAATTCCTACCAGGTAGTCTATACCTCCCTGCATGGCTGTGTCCCAAACCAACAGTCAAAGGCTTCACGAATTGGTCACATTGTAACTTTCTTTTTCCAACCTAATGCTATGTGCGTCGGTGGCATAGAGGTTAGGACGCTCGCTGACCATGCACATGGTCCGGGGTTCGATCCCTGGCCGACGCAGTCCTTTACCTCACTAAGCCAGAAATAGTGTTTGTGAAGAGGAAAGGTTGGGCATGAGGCTTGCAACCCCATCCTGTAAAATAAACACTGCTACAGAAACTTCAAGCCAATATCTTGAAGCCCTAAGTTCCACTGGAGAACGCGATGGATAAAAAAAATCCTATGTCTCTGTCAGCTAACATTTCTCGACGCAAGGAACACGGTGGCTCGGTAGAATATGTTTGTTCGACACTAGGTATTGATGTAGTGAGGGGGAAGTTTGAGAGTCAATGTGGAGTGGAAATCTGGGGTTCACTGGTGCTCCCCAGTCAGTAGACACCTATGAGACACTCACCTGTTAACCAGATATTTCGCTGCATTCCAGTGGATTTTCTTTTTTTTTTAGCAATATTGAACTTCCGATTGTTACACAATATGTAGCAAATCTTTCTAAGCATACCAGTAGTGATTATTCAAACTTATAACAGCTTAAATTTAATTTGATGCATTCCACTTTAAAATTTCGCTCAATCTCCTTCTTTCGGGGCGTCTGGGTCATATCATTAAGTCGTATATTATATTACTGTAATTAATTCACAGCCTGGTGTATTTGAATCTCCTTTCGGGAAGTAATTTTGAACATAAAAGCTAACATTTTGCTTGAGTTTGTATGATCTCTAGTCTCCATTCACATAATGGCTATTTTGTTCGCTTTTGAGACCGTTCAGTGTCTGTATCACTTCCATGTGGCTAGCTAGGCACTACTAGGTGATGTGAGTTTTTTCTTATTCCTTTACGTTCCCAATGGAACATAGGGTACCTTCAAGCTAGAGGTTTGAAGTTTCTGTAGCAGTGGTAATTATTTCTAC